GAGAAGAAGAAGAAGAAGAAGAAGAAGAAGAAGAAGAAGAAGAAGAAGAAGAAGAAGAAGAAGAAGAAGAAGAAGAAGAAGAAGAAGAAGAAGAAGAATGATGATACTCTTTTTCCTCCGTGCCCCAGCCCCGTGGGAGTACGTGGAGGACCCGGAACAACTGGACCAGGCGGCAGAGAGAGACTGGGTGAGGTTCGCCAACACCGTGGGTCACAGAGAGCTGGCCCGTCTTGACAGAGTAGGCTTCAAGTACAGGATACCCCCACCGGGGGCTGTGTGAGTTGACGAAGCATGATTTAACCCTATTCGTACGCCCTGGAGTCATTTTGTACCCCCGGGGATGTATTCTTCACATTTTAGAATACTTCTAGTACGAAAACTTCTTTGAAACTTTCAGTATTTCTCAAAAAATCATTTTGACAGACTGCTATGTAAAGCGTACGGATCGGATTAACGAGTAAATTTCCTCTATGGAAAGTGGTGGCACAGAGTTCCCCACGTCGTATGGATACAGTGGTAAAACACGACTTACGGATAGGGTTAAGACAAACGTTTATAGAGAGAGAGAGACAGGTTGGGCAGTGTACTATATCTATATTTTTGTTTTTGGTCTGCTTTTGGTACCGGTAAATGTTTTACAGCGCTCGCAACTGCAAAAGGTCATAATGTGATCGCACGGGCCACCTTAAATATTTTCAGTTTTGTAGGAATTAATTTTGAATTTTGCCAGTGTGGCGGCTGAAGCCTACCGTTATAGATTTTAGGACCACCAGGGATCTTTAATGTGTGCAACGTGCACACGGGACCTCCGAGATATTTAGCCCCTATCGGAGAAGGCTAGGTGACATAGTTAGATCTTACCTACCCTAAGATCAGGGGTGTGGCTGAAAAACAATTATAAGGAGGAGCCAATAAGTAGCAGTAGACAGGCAGGCTGCAGAAAGGGTCAGGAGCCCAGAGGAGTTGGGCAATTGGGAAGGGGGTGGGGGCAGAAAGTGGAGACGAAAGCAGACAACAGATCATGATTAGAGAGCAGGAAAGGGGGTATAAGGAGGAATTTTTTACAGAAGGAAAATTTCCGTGGCTGCCAGGTTTCGAACCCGGGGCCTATTGAATGAGAGAAGAATACCGAAACCTATTTATATGAGTACATTGTATAAATTTATATAAATTACACCGCCCAACCTGTTCATCACGAGCATCCTTTGTCAAGTGAAAAGTGGTCATCTTATACAGGTAGATATAGTCCTCTTAGACAGAGATACTGCAGAAATTACGAAAAGTGAGAAGAGGGGAGAGGGGAAAGTGGTTGCTTGTTGTAGAGGTGATTGTCTTGGACAGTCGGTCGTTAGAGCAGGTTCCACTCTACAATGACAGTAATATTTCTCTTGTTGCGCCCTTGTTTATTGTGCATTGCCATGTACAGATTCTGAATGTTTCCAATTGGCTCAATGAGATGATGTTCAGTCTTCAGTAATGCAAAAGAAGAGTTCAAGTTCCTTAACTCGGGATTCTGGTGAAAATCATTTCTTTAAAAAAAAACTTTTTAAAATAAATTTCCAGGACACCGGGAAGGAGTGCATGTGATGTAGGTCGTATGGAGTACTGTTGATAGATAATAGAGGTATGAAATCAGTTTTTGCCCTTCCTGTAAAATTTGAACAACCCGAGTTACGATATTTGTTCTGCTACCTCGCGCCCTTACCCCATTCTTAGCTACAAAACAAGCACTAGACGAGTTCACAAAACCCAGTGAATTATACACTCCTCAACGCTCATCGAGTCAGTTTGGCGACCTTTTATTTATTTAGGTATCTATTCATCTATCTATCTACTTCATTCATTCATTCATTCATTCATTCATTCATTCATTCATTCATTCATTCATTCATTCATTCATTCATTTATCCTCATTCATTTATTTATTCATTTATTTATTCATTCACCTATTCATTCATTTTTTTAAATTCATTTATTATTCAGTTGTTCGTTCATTGTCAAGCTGAAATTTTACCGTTTGTTCGTTTCGTTCAACAGTGTCACAGATGAAGTCATGAAAGTCTCGACAGCCTTCCCCGGCCTGCAGGTGGAGATGTCAGATGATAACGGACTCACCTGGTCCGTGGTTGACCCTGAGGGAGAGACAATTGACCCAGAGAAAGATTACATACTGAGAACAAAGTAAGTCGAGGCTTAATTTGGCTAGGACATCATTCATTTCGAAGATAGCATGTGCGAGTAGTCATGTGTCAAACTTGTCATGTTGTTCATGTAACCTACAGCCCGAGAATTTAAGAAATTAATTGACTCTGTGGCTGTAATACCGCGTTTACCGGAAACAAAAAAAACAGACTACGTCTTGTCTTCCCCCATCCTCCTCCTCCTTCTCCTCCTCCTCCTCCTCCTCCTCCTCCTCCTCGTCCTCCTCCTCCTCCTCATCATCATCATCATCAACATCATCTTCACCATCAACATCATCCTATTTCTCTCTCACCTTGTCTCGGTCTATGGTTGACCCTGAGGGAGAGATAATTGACCTGGATAAATAGTGCATACTGAGAACAAACTAAGTCATGGCTTTGGCTTGGACATTCATTTCGAAGATAATCAGTGAGATTATTCGTGTTAGAATATCGTCATATTAGTATGTTTTAGAGCCTGATAGTTTAAATGACGGTGTGTGTAATGTCGCGTACCTGAAACAAAAGATACAGATAACAACTTGTCCTCCTCCCTCCTCCTTGTCCTCTTTATGATGATGATGATGATGATGATGATGATGATGATGATGATGCATCACCATCATAGTCATCACCCCCCTCCCCCCCCCCTCTCTCTCTCTCTCCCTCTCTCTCTCTCTCTCTCTCTCTCTCTCTCTCTCTCTCTCTCTCTCTCTCTCTCTCTCTGTATGTGTGTGTGTGAGTGAGTGTGTGTTTGTGTGTGTGTGTGTGTGTGTGAGTTTGTGTGTGTATTTATATTTTTCGCTTTTGTTGAATAACCAACACATATTTTATAGTTCTATAGCGTTGAATAGTTGAAAGATAAATTACTTTTTAGTATTAGTATAGAACAGATTTCAGAAATTGTTTTTAAAAATGTAGGATCATTTTGGGCCACGTCAGCTAGGTATCAAAATACATTAATAATAATATTTGAATTGGCTTACGTAACAGATAGATGTAGCCTAATCGATAAGTTGTCGGCATAACCTTTGACCTGTTTCTTCTCTTACATTTCAGGGCTGCTTTTGGGACACGGTACAGCAGGGTCGTGAACCTAAGAGACAATGTCAGCTCTGCCTTCACCACAGTTGCCTCTCGTATCATGATCATCATTGGTTTAGCTATCGCCCTGTCCTCCTACCAGTGGTCACTTTCTCTCTTGTAGTTCTACATAAATGTGTACATTATCATGATCATCATCATATTATTTTTTTATTCGCTTACGGTACAGTTATAATGTTGGTTACATCGCCATTTAATTAATCCTTGCACAGTAATTTGTCATCGCCATAATTTTACAACTCTGCATTAAAAATACTACTGATACATTCCGACGGGGCAGTTCATTTTCCGTTTGTCATTTTGTTCATGATTGTCGGACGAACTTTGTTCTTTCATTTTTACCGAACCAGAGCACGTGTCAAGGTAAAGATAACTATACTATACTGCTGCCTCATTGAGTTGTAACACGAAACAGGTACATGTGTTCGCTTTTGGCAATGTTGTTGTTGTTGTTGTTGTTGTTGTTGTTGTTGTTGTTGTTGTGTTTTTGTTGTGTTTTTGTCCTTCTGCTGCAGCTGCTGTTTTTGCTCTTCCTCCTCCTCCTCCTCCTCCTCCAGCGGCAACAAGAAAAGGGCTCCTCCTCCTCCTCCCCTTTTTTCGTAACACACACTCATACACCCTTTTTTTTTTTTAGTTGGGTTGGGTTTTTTATTGTCTGGAGTTGAGTTTTTAGTGTTGTTGTTGCTGCTGCTGCTGCCAGTGTCAGCAACCCAAAAGTTTGTTTTCTGTTTTGAAGGTTTCCTTCGTATGTTGGTTTAGAGATATAACTGTCAGTCGCGACAACCAAAAGGATATAAGCGGCGGACGAAAGTAAAATATACAGTCAGTCGTGGAGGCGGCTGTTGCAGCTGTTCGTGTACAACAGCATTATAGGTACTATAGCCAATGCCAGACGGCGAGGGACGCGCTGTCGTCACAGACATTCGTTCGATAGTCCCCTCTCGACTCTCGACTCTCGATGAAATGGCACGTTCGCTATTACTTTACAAATTTTGATGTTGGCTGAGCGTGACGTGACGAAGCCTCGTATAGAAACTGGTAGCCTAGCTTGATCTGCGCCGTATAGTTGATTGATTTTTGCCATTATAGTTATAGTTTGTGGGTGGTTGGCGGGTGTTCTGGTATGCTTCTTCTTGCTTATCAAACATCTACATATTATATCGTTTTTATCTCCCCTCCTTTTTTGTGTTTGTTACTCTCTTGTAACTCTTCTCATCTCAGGCACTTATATGACCTTATTTATTGTGTTGCAAGTGCCGTAAAACACTTGCTAAAACTAAACAATAGTTATACATGTAGCTTGTTCACTCTCGTCTGGCTGAGGTAAAAAACAAGACAAACAAATTGTTCCGTTTAGTCTTCTCAGTTCTTTGCAAACGGGTCTAAACGTCGGATGGATGACCAACAGAATCTAAAGACCTTTTAATGAAGATCACTGCAAACTAAGGCCCCGACGTGGGTTTTTTTATGTTAGCCTAAAGCGTGAAACAAAATTGGGAATTTTTTAATGTATACACCTAAACCAACAAAAGTTTTACCCAATTTCACCAACACCACACTTTAGGCTTACGGACGCCTATGAAACACAGTCCAACAGACCACAAGTCGCTGTTTCCTATTCCTGGAAAAACCCCTAGACTAGGTGTGCGCACAAGGTCAAGCACGGACAAAATGGGAGTTATGAGAAGGGGTGTCGACTCTACAGTTACCCAAAATTCTCGACCAGAAATTAAATGCAAAAAATCGAGGATTGAGCACAATATACAATTCTCCCCCCCCCCCCTTTTTTTCCACCTCCCATCTTCCCCTCAATCCAGCCCTCTCTCTCTCTCTCTCTCTCTCTCTCTCTCTCTCTCTCTCTCTCGTTGTCTTACTAACTAGGCAATCCCCAATGTGCGGATCGGATGCGGGAACAACTTTACTTTACTCTACTTGATAACACCCCCCCCCCTTTTTTTTCCACCTCCCAACTTCCCCTCCTAACCACTGCCGTGGGTGGTTGGCGGATATATGCTCTAGCGTGGTTTGCTTCTTCTTTCCTATCAAACATCTATCGTCCTTTTCTTCCCTTCTTCTTTTTTATGTTTGATACTCTCTTGTAACACCTCTAATCTTCTGGCACTCATATGACCTTATGCAGTTGCGAGCGCCGTAAAACCTTTACTGCTACTAAAACTAAAACTAACCACTGCCGTACATCACAGACTCCTGCAACCGAAATGAAAGCGTTCTCATTTCTCACTCAGATTTGCCGAAAGCTACAACTCGGCAACCCATTAGCCTCATTCGACTCAATTAAGCTTTCACGCCAAATCTGCAGTAACGATAAACATATGTAATAGATTCTTGAAAAGTCATTATTTTGTTAACAGGACAAGTAAACTCTCCAGAATATAAATGTAGCCGCTTCCATTTTTTTTTTTATTTCAGTCAACTACTTCATGATAGCCGCCCCGCACCCCC